TTTTATCATATCTAGTTTTAAAAATTTCCATCTACGTTATACTTATCTTGCACATAAATTTAAACAAATATTACATAAGTTACAAATGTTTCATTTGCTTAAAGAATAACTTTCTCTTTTTCTGAATCAATAGTTGTTTTATGTAAAAATTTAAACATGAGCAGAAGTGATGAGATAGTAGAATGAACTTCCACGTACCCATCACCTGAGTTCAATAATTATTATGATTTATCACATCAACTTTAACCTTTTTACCTTTTTTACTTTCTTAACTTCTTTCTGATTGTTAGAAGATATGACATAAAATCCTGAACTTCGTGTCATTTTACCCCAAACGTATTTCACATGTTTCTCTTTCTGTAAGACATTTTCTTCCAATATTCCACCACCATGGTCACTTTTATCAATGACTTCTTTGTGTCATTCAACTTCCACTTTATAAAAGATTTCCCTATGTGTATAATATGTAAATGTGCTAATTTCGATGTATGGATGCAGTGTGAAATAGCCCCACTCTTACACAAATAGTGAATGCAGAGGCTTCCACCCCGACCTAACCATTGTGAATTTCCCTCATAACTCTTCACCTAACGGCTTCATCTAGTGCTGATCAATTAGAGTTACAAATGTGATTTTATAATTCTGTCATTTCTTATCCACTCACTAGCTGGAATTTTTCTTTTAAAAACTGTCTCTAAGGCTATTTGGTTACTATGAAATATATTTCATGGGGGGAAAACCAAGATAAATGATTAATTCTTCCAATTACCCAGCTAGCTTTTACAATACTGAACAAATTATAACCAGTGTGTTTATTTTCTGATTCATTTTGCTCTTTTTTTCTTCTGGTTAAATTAAAACTCTGGTGAGGAAAAGAATGGTTTTTAACCTCAAAATGAATTGATGAATTTCCTCTTGCATAATATTCATTCTTAGAAATAGAGAGGGCCTCAGAATTCATCTGTTCTAATCTTATTGTACAAGTGAAGAAACGAGGCATGTTCAGTTAGGTGAATATACTGAGACTGGAACCCAGATCTGCCAAAACTCAGAGTGTGACTTCCAGTGGCCTCTAAGATGATGAACCTGTGGAAGTGTTTTTGGAACAATAACATTCCTCCATAGCTAGGACTCTGTGACGATTCTATATCACTTTGAACCATTGATTGATCTTGCTGAAGAAATGTAAGCTGCCCAAATGAAACCTGAGCTTGCCATAAGTTATTTTTTAAGGAAGGAGTTGCTTGGTGAAGCAAATCTTTCTACCTGAAAAGAATTTTTCATAGTTTGCACTGGAACAAAGAGCTGACAGCTCATTTTTTAAAGTAAAAAAAAAAATTATTATTTCTGTGTTTATAAAATGCTAAGTTCACAGCCCTGTGATACTATTAAGAGGACATAAGATATGGTTTTTCACTCGCTAAAATCTAACTAGAGAAGTCAGACATACATAAAAAAAAATAGTCAAAAAAGAGGGTACAGTCATGGTCTCAATAGCAAAGACTTCCCAAGATAGCCATGCTCATGGCCAGGAGAATGGACACACAGGAATAACATAGGCCTGGGGATTCCAGAAGTCCTCATGGAGGAGATGAGAAAAGCATAGGCAGTTATTTAGGGCTGGAGAATAGCTTGAAGCCATAATGAGAAGGAGAAAAGGCCAAAGGGATGCCTAATAAGTCCATCTCATTGGGATAAGGAGCCACCAGGGAATCATAGGCAGTAGACGGCATGCTGAAATCTAGGGGCATCCAGCTGCCAGCCTTGTTCCCTATCAGCATCTGCCATCTCTTATTGCCTGGAAAGACTAGACTTCACACTGGTTCAGAGTTTCTAAGTTTTTTTTTTAAAGTAATTTTGAAACATTTGAGAAAAAACAATCAATTTTACTCAGACAGGACATTCCTCTTGGATGAGGCTATAAATCCCTCACCCCCTATCATGATCCTTCTTCCCCATTCTCCCCTATTCAATCCTAGTACACACTCATGCATTCAATAAACATTTATTGGATAACATCTGAGCAATGTGCTAGGCACTAGAATATACGACAGAAGATCACCAGCCTCCTGCTATTGTGGGCTTACAACTTAGTGGACAGAGATACGACATACAAGGAAATAGAAACAAAATGATTTCAGTTGTCAAGTGAGTAATGGTGATTGATAGAGAGTAATCGGGGATGAGGAAACTCCTGAAAATAGGGCCATAACAAGGGCTTTCAAAACACAGGGAACTTGATCTGACACCTCAGTGACAAAACAGTGCTGATACATCACTGCAGATAAACAGAATAGTCAAGCACAATTCTCCAGGAAAGAGAGAGGTTCATATGTCAAGTGTAGGTGGAATATAGTAAGTCAAGTTGAGAGCAGGCTGGCATGAAATCATACAGGTGGAAAGGAATTGGATGGTGTCAATCCATGCAGTTCTTGAAGAGCAGTTTATATTTGATTCTGAGAGTGACGGGAAACCCCTGGAGAGTTTTATGTGGCAAAGTGACAAAACACAATTTATGAATTTAAAACATCCGTAGGATACATATAGAAGGGCATTAGTGATAGTATATGTGTGAGAGCAAACATCTGGGAAATAACTAGTTATACACCAACAAGGACAAGGCGGACAGTCTATGACAGGTGCTTACATTGGATTGGAGCACCAGGCAGCTATGACAAAGAATGGGGCAAATATCTACACTCTGAGATGTGTTACCTGCATGCAAAAAGGTACAGTGGCAAACTTTGGACTGTTTGCTACCTTCTTATGAAAAAACAGAGTAGAACCCTAAAAGTGGAGACCCTGTAAAGAAATGGATTCTCTTGATGCTCAGTTTTAGGTAGTTCCCTATCAGCTTGCCACTATTGATTATTGGCCAGACAGTTAGCTCTGCTGTAACTGTGGGTCTGTCTATGTTGCTGTTGTCTTTACCACCAAAGGCCAGTCACATGACACTAGTCGTCCAGAGCTGATTACTTCCACTTGCCCTTTTGATGCGTTCTGAGTGGGAGAAATTTTCAGTAAGAGTCCTCTCAATCATAACTCGCATTTACAAAACTGGGCAAATAAGTCATCCTTGAGCACAGAGCTGAGGATTAAGTTTCTTTCATATCAAAGGAGCTGGGGTTAGCCTGTGATTTGCCACGGAGTTCTATCTTGAGAAGAGAATTGGGATAGGCTGAGACAATGGAGTCAGGTGCAAGGGACAAAGAATCTTCCCCTGGGACATCTTCTAATAGGATCAATAGTGCATCTGCTTTTTCTCCACCTTCCTCTTTACCCCCCTCCTCCTTTCTATGTTCCACTCTAAAAGGCTTTGAGAAAAAGGCTTCAATCAGTCTTACCTGAATCCTTTGCAGACTGAACACATGGAGGCTTGCTATGTACTCTAATCAGCTTCATGACACTCTCAGAAACCATCTCAGAAAGGACCAGTTTGGAAACTTAGATGGGACTGACCCTAACATAGAAAAGTAAGAAAGATTTTGAGTTAAAAAGTAAGTCTGTCATAAAATAACTCACCACTGTTTAACTCAGTTGAAGTGTTTCAAAATATAAGTTAATTGAGCACTATTTTCCACTTTAGTAAAGAATTTATGTTCAATAAAAATAAGAACTGTTAAAATCTAGAATGATGCCAATATGTGTGCTCTGCCCATGAGTCTTAACATCTTCCCCTGTAGTCTAGGTGACTGGAAATTTGTGTCCATCTTTGTGTGTCTCTGTGCTTATGAGACATGGAGACCAGAGACAGGATCAATCTGCAGTTGTTGCTTGGGGCAGTGTCTGATCATAGAGAAGAACTTTTTGATGGGGACAATGGGGATGTCCCCACATCCCTAGGTGGCATGAGAGAATAAGGGGTGGGACTAAAGCATATCAATTTATTCCTTGAGGGGTTGCCTTGAGCAAACGTTATGAGCAGCAAATATCATCACCACAACCTGCTAGACCACTGGGATTTCCCCCCACATGGGTCCCGTTGGCATTCAGAGTTCTCAAGGAATTTGAAGGGTACAGAGCAACCAAAGCAGCACACAGTGTAAATACCACGCAGCTGTCACAGCAAATGCACATCGGTTCGTCCTGGCTAGCTGTGCTATCAGGGGAACACTTCTGAAGGAATCCCTGCCAATTACAACAGAAGCAGCTCTGTATTCATGATCAGTCCAAATCTTGTCAAAATTAGCTATATATCCCAAAGAAATGGCAGCTTCTGGATCCTTCTACGATTGTTGAATGGCTCAGCCAAAGACCCCAAAGTCATAACATCTTCATTCACTCTGCATTCATTGAGCAATGGCTTGCCTGCCAGTCACACTGCTAGGCATTAGGGAAACAAAAACAAATAAGACCTGGTCCCTGTCCTCGGGGGCTCCCGGTCTCAGGGAAGAGACGGATATAAAGAAGAAAAGGCAAAGAAAACCCTGGGCAAGAAGAGGCCAAAAAAAAAGCAAGGGTCCAAAACAAAAAGGAAGAAGAACCCGGGAAAAGCCCAAGGGGCAAGGGGGGTCATGAGAGAAGGCTTCCTGGAGGAGGTGATAACCAGAACTGATTCTGGAAGGAGAGTGGGCATGAACTCCATGAATACCAGAGTAGGAAAGTGATAGAAGTTCCCTTAGCCTTGGGAACATCAAAAAGATCTACTCTGAAGGCCAGACGCCTCTGTTGTGAATCTGATGAAAGCGACAAGCCCCTTCCCTGGTAAAAATGTCTATTTAATTATAGCACAGTTTCTACGGCCCATAAACTCTTAAATTCCATGTGCAAATCCCCTACATATCATGAACCCCAGGCTAAAGGTTTGCAAAGAGAATCTTATCATAGTGGCTGGAAGAGCCCTCTGAGACCGCCTCACCCGACTCATCACCAAGGAAACTGAGGCCCAGAGAAGACAGAGAAAGGCTCCAGGGCTGCATAGCTGTGGGTTGGGGGAGGGAAGCCTAGGAAGGCATGGAGGGCACCTCCGGCTCCCAGTTACCATGACGTCTCTTCCACAGGGATATTTCCTGGCTGGCACCTGAGCTATGTAGACGTGAAGGACAACTCCCGCGATGAGACCTTCCGCTTCCAGTGTGATTGCTGGCTCTCCAAGAGTGAGGGTGACAGGCAGACGGTCCGCGACTTTGCATGTGCCAACAATGAGATCCGTGAGGAGCTGGAGGAGACCAGTACGTGGAGAGACCACAGGAGACTGTGATGTCTGGGCTGGCTCTTAAGTTAAAGGAGGGTGGCTCCTGAGGAGGTGGGGACAGTGAGGGTGAGCAGATATCAGGACAACTGTACATGAGTCAGATCCTGGTGAGGGAAATACTGTGGGGGAGATGCCCAAGAAAACTCCTAGACATTGCTCCATGAACCTGGAACTGCTAACATGCCAACCCATAGCCCTGAATCACAGGGGCCAATTAGGTAGCAGGGATCCCCACAGGGGGCGTGCACTAGGCTGGGCAGGTTGGTGTGAAGCTCTCCCTGGTTTATTTCTACCTGGTAAACTAGATTGTACCAATTGTACCTTTGGCAATAGCTATGAAACCAGCCTTTCTAGAAACAAAAGGCAGGTCCAGCAAGTCTCAGCCACTCTCTCTGTGTCCCTTCCTCAGGGGATATTTAAAGAGAGAGAGTAATTGATCCCAAAGGTGGATGGCCACCAAGGCCCAGAGAGGTATATCCTTAATACACAATTGTCTGGGTCCAGCTGGTTAGAAGTCTTGCTAAAGGCAGAGCCCAGTGAAAGAAAGTATTTGCTAGCCTCAGTTATGAAGGCAACACTAGCTGCACTAAGAGGTGAACCCCCAAATCTTAGTGTCTTAACGTAAGGAAATTCATTTCTAATGTAATACGTGGTCTAGTGCGGGTGATTGGTGGGAGGTCCTTCATGCGGTGATTTAGGAACATAAGAACTTTGCATCTGGGTCTTTGCCATTTCCAAAGTGTGGCTTCCACATTTCTTGCAGAAAGGAAAAGAGAACCTGGAGGAGGCCCTCCCCCACCTCCTTAACACATTAACACACATTCTATTGGTGAGAACTAGTCACATGGCTCCACCAGAGGCAAGGGCCAGCCAGGGACTTGGGTCCTGGCTGGACAGCCCCTTCTAGGGGACCACTGTACACCCCAGAAGGGAATTATGCATCTTTGGTGGAAAACCACCTAACCTATCTGCCCAATGATGAAGTTGGTTGTCCTAAGAGTTAGTGAGCCCCAAGTCCCTGGAAGCACTCAAATGAAGGCTGAA